GCGTGTGCGTGTGCGTGTGCGTGCGTGTGCGTGTGCGTGTGTGCGTCGTGCGGTGTGTGCGAGTGTATAGTGTGTGTGTGTGTGTGTGCGGCTGTGGTGTGTGTGGTGTGTGTGCTGTGTGTGTGTGTGTGTGTGTGTGTGTATGTGTGTGTGTGGTGTGTTGTGTGTGCTCTGTTGTGTGCGCGCGTACGGTGCGTGCCTGCCGAAATGGCTCTTAAATTAATCTGTCTTCCTGCTCCCGCTGCTATATGCTCTGCCACACTCTCCGGTAATGGTGTATGCTACTGTACACACACACACGCACGCACGCACGCACGCGCGCACGGCGCCGCACACATCACACACGCACGCACGCACGCACGGCACGCGGCGCACACGCACGCACGCACGCGCGCGCGCGCGAGCTACAGGACGCACACTGACGATCGAATTCACATTCGAGATAATATTATATCGCGTCAATAATACACGGTGAGCGGTATGAAATCCCCATAGCCGAGTAAAGATACGATCACTTGATGCCAGTCGGTTGTAAGCGGTGTCTAGTGCAGTCGGGTGAATATGAAATAACTCGGTTATTACCTCCGCGCAACGGAGTTGCAGGGAGGTCATGCAATCGCTCGCGTGTGTGTTTGTTCGTGTGTGTGTGTAGCCACTAGTGTTCGCGCGATCGATTCAGCATGCAGCAGCTCGCCTTCGTGTGTGTGTGTAGCCACTAGTGTTCGCGCGATAGATTCAGCAGCAGCTCGCCTTAGGGCGTCCAGTCAGCAGCAGCTCGCCTTAGGGCGTCCAGTCAGCAGTAGCTCGCCTTAGGGCGTCCAGTCAGCAGCAGCCAGCAGCGAGCCAGCTGTTATACACATACATGTTACACGCTCGCGGAGGTATGCACTTTCCGTGAGTGCCCTCTGTCTAGTTGCATCAAGTTATAACGCCTGAGATGACGCTATGTAGTGTGAACGTTGCAGTGTCGGGTGGCGCTCGCATGCGTGCGTGCGTGCGTGCGTGCGTGCGTGCGTCGAGCGCGGGAGTTGCGGTTATTCCCACAGGCACTTGAAGCGTTTCAATAAAATATAAAGCTAAATAAATACGAAATCTATTTACTACCAAATTCTTAATGTTTCTATAATCTCTTTCACCTATTATTGCCAACAGTTTCCTGTAAATTCCGTCCAAATCCTCTATGTCTCAGCGTGAGAAATGGCGGCCGGTAGCGTGTGTTGCACATAAAGGATTTGGACAGAATTTACAGGAAACTGTCGGCAATAATAGGTGAAAGAGAGTATCGAAACATTAAGAATTTGGTAGCAAATCGATTTCGTATTTATTTAGCATTATATTTTATTGAAACGCTTCAAGTGCCTGTGGTTATTCCAATCGAAAGCGTGCAGGCTGCAGGCGAACAAATCGCTAGCACGCGCGCTGTGATGTTGTATGAACGTTGGACGTATGTTGGATGTTGTATGGATGTTGTATGGATGTTGTATTGACCGATAGCTGAACCCGCTATGTCCCTCGAGCGCTACCGTTCAGCTGCCACTAGGGTCCATATATATATATATAGGGACCCTAGCTGCCACTGCTGCTGCTGCTGCTGTTACTCTTGCTACTGCTGTTGCTGCTACTCTTGCTGCTACTACTGCTACTGCTGCGGTTACTGCTGCTGCTACTGTAGCCCGACCAGGCTGTGCGACGGATTGTCTATACAGCCTGACACCCTTCCATACAAAATCACCTCTGCAGATCTAGATGAATAACTCTGTATATCTCAAATAAAACTATTCTATTACCACCTTTGACTTGCCTTGTTTGAAATATGAACGTTAACTCACAGTCGTCCTGCTTCTAAACTAGAATGTATCTCTTAATTCACGGTATAATCTGCTAATTCTCACAGCATATCAACTTTCCAATCAGCTTTACCCGCCATGTTTAGCGAGACACGGAAAAACCGAAACGGAAAAGACTCGCTAGAAAATACTAAAGAAATAGTACAATAGCTGCACGATGGCTCTCACGGCAATTACACACCAAAGCAAGTGAAACGATGTTCACAAATGTCTGGGCCATTTGTAAAAACCTTAGATGACATGTTCTCGGATGTAGGACTTATCTCGGATGTAGGTTTACATGAGGACCGCAGATCGTTTAATTTCCTTTGTTCGATCCATTACATTTTAGTCACAGTCGGAATGATAGCAAACATGGCGGCGAATTCATAAATTTTGTTGCATTCGTCTCAAAAAGTCGCTGTAACCCCGTAAGTACCCAGCGCATCGTAGCGCACTGATGGTTACAAGAAGGTGGACGTATACGGATTCATTTGGTATATACCATGTATAGTGTTCTTTGGCGATACTTGGCAAATAAGGCAGCTACGTGTTTAGCTGCAGCCAAGGTTTGAAACGGTATTCTAACCCTAGCAACTGCTACTACTGCTACTACTACTGCGCTCACTCTCTCTCACACACACACACATACATACGCGCACGCACGCACGCTCGCAAACGCACGCACGCTCGCACACGCACGCACGCACACACGTACACACGCACGCACGCACGCACGCACGCACGCACGCACACGACACACACACACACACACACACACACACACACACACACGCGCGCGCGCGCGTACGCGCACACACACACCCATATGCCGCTCACAACACTGTTCTCCTGCCCACTCCTGCTCCTCACATTGTGCCTCCTCGTAATTACGATAGACAAACAACTGCCGCACACCACCCACTGACAACCGCTGCCGCAGCTGCTGTACCACTTCAAGCGTGCTTCAACATGTGTGTGTGTGTGTGTGTGTGTGTGTGTGTGTGTGCGTGCGTGCGCGCGCGCGCGCGTGTCGTGTGCGTGTGCGTGTGTGTGTGTGTGGTGTGCGCGCGCGCGCGTGTGTGTGTGTGTGTGTGTGTGTGTGGTGGGGTGTGATGCGATGTGCGTGTTCGTGCGTGTGCGGTGTCGTGCGCTCGCGTGTGCATGCATGCGCCCCCCCCATACAATCCCTCACCAACTACAAATAAAGCGTCCATCACCCATCTGTAGATTCAGTGTGTCGCGCAGATGGCAGACAACGCGCGAAGGTAAACGTATACGTATAGAGCAGCGCCTGACACGTCACAGCTGCGAAAACCATGACGCTGATATAAATTACTGATCTGTCACGAAATTCGCAACGTTAAGCTTATTAACATATCAAAACACGCGACCGTCGGGAACATGCCCCTCGAAACTGCATTGCATTAGGGGCTCCACTTGAATTGTACCGGTAAAAGCACGCTAAGGTGGAAAACCCATAAAACGAAGAGGAGAGGAGAGATAAGAGAAGTGAAAAAGAAGAGAGAAGGAGAGAGAGACGAGAGGAGACCAATATAAGAGAGAGAAGAAAGAGTGGATGAAGGTGTGAGAGACCAAAAGCATTTATGCAAGAGATGACAGGAAAAAGATGGATATATATAGGGGTTATTTGAGACAGAGGCTGGCAGGCAGGAGAAAGAACGCGAGATAAAGGAGATGGAAAGAGAGAAAGCGAAGATAAAGGAGAAGGAAGAGACGAGAGAGAAGGGAAGAGGGAAGCGAGAGGAGAGGGAAGAGGAGAGGAAGCGTAGAGAAGGAGAGTGCGACGAGGAGAGGGAGGTAGGAGAGGGCGAGGAGAGGAGAAGAGGGGAGAAGGAGAGGGAGAGGTGAGAGGACGAGGAAGAGGGAGAGGACAGGAGAGGAAAGGAGAGGGAGAGGGAGAGGTCTCAGAGGAGAGGCGAAGAAGGAGAAGGGAGAGGACGATGGGAGAGGAGCAGGAGCCAGGAGAGGAGAGCGAGAAGGAGAGGAAGAGGGACAAGCGGGAGAGGGAGAGGGATAGGGAAGGGAGATGACAGGAGAAGGGAGAGTGAGAAGAGCAGGAAGAGAGATATAGAGAGGTAAGGGAAGAGAAGAGAACGCGACACGGAGGGAAATGTCAGGCAAAAGAACCACGTAGTCAAGGTGCAACACCGCGAGCGAGTCGCAGACAATAATGCTCCGATCCGCTGTTAGAAGAACAGCAAAAAAAAGAAACAACAACAACAATCAAACAACACAACAACAAAAACAACCAACAACAACAACAACAACAACAAAACAACAACAATGAAAGTGCAATGACTAACCGTAACTCACCACCAAAAAGACAGCAAGAGTGCTGAAAAATCCAGATTTTAAATCTGAGCAACCATCCGACGTACATATAGAAAACAAGAGATATAATGGAAACTCCCATTAATACTCTTGATCGATATATTGTAGTTGTTTTTTCATGATAAAAATAAAAATAATATATATATATAATCTATAAATAATCTTATAAACCAAATGAAGCACATTGACGTAGATGGCGCATACCCGTTTGAAGTTTCTTAGCATAGAATATTAATATAATTAATAATAAAAAAATAATATAGAAAAATAATAATAAATCAGAATACGTCATAGCAGGAATTTGCCATAAAGATATTGTCAATGAAATCTTGTAAAACGAACCAGACGAGTGTGACACCACAGACTGTTTGTTATCTGCGTGTCTATATAATATGCTATATAATTGCCAAACCCTACCTAATTTGCATTATTTTTTTTTAAATATCAAAACCCCTAGCACTTATTCATTCAGATACCAAAAATGAGCAAAATCCGTTGAACCTGAACTGACTAATTGCAATTCCCATTTTTGCCAAAAAATTGCCGTGGCTCGAAAGTACGTCGACTGGCGTGCTCCAAAATAGGACGTTTAATATGGGAGCATAGCAGTAACAACTATACCCAATTTCAAACATGTGGGTCAAACGGTTCCTGAGTTATCGTTGACCGTAGCCAAATGTTGACGGACGGACGGACGAACGGACGGACGGACGGACGACGACCCATGGCAATAGCTCAGCTTGCCGATGCCAAGGTGAGCTAAAAACGACAACGAAAACTACAACAACAGCAACAGCAGCAACAGCGACTACAACTTACGTGATCTTGTCCCAGCTGGGCCGCAGCAGAATGTTGGCGAACACTTGCACGAGCTTCGTCGGCGGGGACTTGTCGCCCTTCGTGTGCTGGTGGAGGCACACGCGGCAGAAGTGCTCCATGAGGAACCTCAGTACGCTGCTGTGCGCGGGCGGTAGCTTGTCCAGCAAGCGCACGAGCGCCTTCGTGCAGTCTACGTCATTCTGTATCTCTGCAGACGAAAAGATATAGAGCACGCCGTTAGAGGTGACCGCTTCACGAAAAGCAATGAGCATATTTTGTGATATTATTAAAAACATGAAAAAAATAGTAAAGTAAATATTAGTTCACATATTAAAGTAAAATATTAGTACATTTTTGGTTTCATTATTACCCACGGGACTAACGGCACTTCGTAAATGTTCTACCACTTTATCCCGGATAAGAACGCGTTTAGAATAGTTAAAATTGTGAAACGTCCACGCGATTTGCCTCGTTGGCGCTCTGCTGAAAATTTCGCACAATGGAAAATTTACGGAGACGCCACGGACGGAAATGGACTACGCTACTACGACTACAAATTAAATACGTGTCGCCTTCTATCTATGTGTAAGGTACACGCAGATCTCACCAATGAACGGTTTAGTTCATCATGTGGCAACACTGTTATGAAATATATTATTACGATCGCTTGGCTGTGTCTGGATCACTGAAGAAATTTGATTGCTGTTGATATAATGCCACTTTATCAATTATTAGGATTTGCTGAAGGAATATTATAAAAGCTGCAAAACAGTTGTATTTCTTCCATATTGGATGAGTCCAAATTAGGTTTGCTGTGAGCTTATGCATGTTTAATAACGTGTCGCGTTCGTAACGTTTCTTAAACACTTGTAACAGATGAAACCTTCATCTAACATGAGATAACTTCATTATCCTACATAATGCATGAAGTTATCGATTTAAAAAAAAATCCTATGCAATTATTAGGGATCAAGATGTAGCCAATGAATTAATGAATACCGATTGTGGGTCAAAAGTTGATGTTTTTCTTTTTGTGCGAGATGCACCACAATATTATAAAAAATGTATTTCTTCTTTTTTATACAGTCACTGTATTCAGATTACAAAAATATTTTTCTTTTATAATCGTATTCTTGGCTTTAGTGCTATCATAGACATAACAAAAAAGCGTGAACCTAATTTACTATTTCTGTGTCATTTCTCATTCGGTTGGTTTTAAAACTATACACACTATAACCGTCATAAACGAGTACGCTCTATAAATAAATGCCAGTGCTGGGATGAAAGTCACCTTGGCTTTACCAAGGGATCGCAAAGTCACCTTGGCTTTACGCCTTTACCAAGGGATCGCACTAAAGAACACAAACATGGGTGCGCGCACGATTCTTTCGCACGACAAGCTGGCATCTCTGTACACACTCGTTACGCACAGCGGGGCCGAATACCCTTCGCCTTCCACTTGTGAGTGATGCAACATCTGCCGAATGCCCTTGGAGACCAGGGAGAAGACGGGATTAACAGCAGCCGGTGGATGTGCTGCATGCGAAATGGATACCACAGATTGGGAGGTGGGGGACAAATACAATACCCTCACTTCCACATAGCATCGTAGCGCTTACAGACCGGCTGTATTTATTCGACCGCCTCGGTGTTGTTCAAGTGACAAGGGGGGGTCACAAGCCAGCCAAGAAAGGAAAGGTAAATAAGAAGCAAGTAAAAATGTCCTTCGGAACACATATTATTAACACCCTATTTTCGAATATTAATTCGGGTTGTCTACACGTTTTAATAACTGCCAACCCACACTAGATACTTTTTAACGCAATGTCTTTCAATGTCCTCTGCTGCTTAAAATAACTCGCTCAATGGGAAACCGGCAGAACTAATCCGCTGAGTGGCGCTAATAGGCAAGTGAGTCTTGACACTTATCATGAAGAATATCTATTTCTAATCCGCTGGATATTATTTTTTACAACTGAATGTCATTTCGCTTGTACATATGACACTCACTATCATGATGCGAGGCAATTTTCTACAGGTAATTTTTCCTAATCAAAATATCACATCTCTAACATCGACATATCAAAATGCAACGGAAACCAAAGTCGTAATTATCCTAGAAATCAGAATCGGTAACGAAAGACGATTACCATTCATAGCATATTCGTCATCCTACTTGCAAGCTAAAGGTCACAAGTGCGCATTACGCTTGCGCAATAGGCGCATCTTAATGATATCACAGCGCATGAATCACGCATTTGTCCTTACAGGTGGCACTGCATCTATAAAACAATAGACCAACAGTTGGTTCGCGAGTGAGCCACGACTGTTCGGTGCACTGATCTTTATTATACTAACTAGTACTTACTATTACTTACTTATTAAAATTACTTATTACTTATTACTTATTAGAATTAGTTACTTATTCTTAGTTAGTATAATAGAGATCAGTGGTTCGGTGGCGTTACTGTAAACTGCAGAACTAAACTAGCCGGTAGGCTAGCGAGACCCGAACGTTGGCTGGCTGGCCTTGGACATCTTACAAGCTGACGTAATCATCCTACTTGAAATTCAACGCCTGCGCGCTTGCCGGCCGTACCTCATTGTTATAATTCACGCAGCTAATCGCAAGGGACCATCTGTAGACATTAAATATTTTAGAATGCAATTTCACCTGCCCCATTTCTCACACTGATGTACTCAAACATACAGAACCAGGTAAGTAATTTCTTAATGTTGGAACTGTGAGGGTGTGAGCGTGTGCATGTACGTGCGTCTAAGTGAGTCAGCAAATTAAACGCACATACTCGCTAAAGTGACACATACGTGCTTTCACTAAAGCAAATATTACTTGCAAGTGCTAAAATAAAAGCCACAAAAACAACTAGCACACAAAGGAACGTTGAAAGTAAATAATGGTATTGCAAGAATATAATATTATGGGATAAATAGTACGGATAATGTTACGCCGTGAGATTTCAATGCAATGACGTAAGAGTGCGTTAGTGTAAGAAAATGCAATAATGTGATAAAGTAACACAATGACGTAGGGAATGAACATGGTGACGCATCAGTGAAATGCAACGATGTAAGCAAAATACGCAATGATGTAAGAAATGAATTGTGTAAAGAACGAAAGAAAGAAGGAAAAATTCCAGGAAACGCCATCGCTAGAATAAAAGGAATCCTTAGATTCCCTTTCAGTTACCACATACACGTCAGTGCGGCCGAAGCAACACGATTATTTATTATACGAAATCCAGAAACGACAGCTAGCATCGCACGGAGTTCTGCGTCGATCTTCTCCGTTCAACCGTGCCCACCAGCACCAACAGCATGGCGGCATGGCGGCATGGTCACTAGCTTCGGGGGGACGTACGTATATACGGGCCCCGCAGTTACAACACGGGCGCCACGTATACACAAGAATACGCATGAGCGCGTAGCGCGATTCCCCCTCTATATATATCTCTCTCTATATATATATATTCTCTAGCTTTTTTTCTCTCCCGTATTTCCTATTCACCTCTCTCTCGCTTACTCCCGTCCCCCTCTCCCTCTCTGTGTGTCCGTCCGTCTATCCGCCGCACTGCACTCTCTTTCCTTCGCATTTCTGTTTCTTGTGCGCTTTCTTTTCCCTTCTCTGCCTCTCTTCCGAACAGCATGGAAAGTCAGTTGGCTTCGTTTCTCCTCAGCAACAGCAGCCTTCGCAAGGCAATTAGATCGATCCACTATGCGTCTCGAGATACGCTCTGCCCCTTCTCCCCATCTATCTCTCTCTCTCTCTCTCTCTCTCTCTCTCTCTCTCTCTCTCTCTCTCTCTCTCTCTCTCTCTCTCGAGCGCGCTCTATCTCTATATTCCTCTCTCTCAGTCGCGTCTCTCCTCTTCTCCCCGCGGCTGGGGGCGCGGGCTCCGGCTTCGCTGGCGGGGTGCGCGGCCGGCATTCGCGTCTGCTCTGCTCCTCTCATCTCTCGTCCCTCTCTGTCCTCTGCCTGGCCCCGTACACCCTCTCTCTCTCTCTCCCTCTCTCTTCTCTCGTCTCTCAATCTCTCCTCTCGTCGTCGTCTCTCGTCTACTCTCCTCTCTCTGCGTCTCTCTCTCTAACCTCTCGTCTCTCCTCGTCTCGCCTCCTCTCTCTATCGTCTCTCGCTCCTCTCGCCTCCCGGCCTCTCATCTCCTCTCTGGGTGGGCCGGGTCTCTATCTGCTCTCTCTCTCCTCCCCCCTCTCGCTCGCTCGCGGTGCATCGCTCTCCCGCTCTCCTGGTCCCCCTCTCGCTCGCATTCGCTCCTCTCTCTCTCATCTCTCTCTCTCACTCACGCTCTTCTCCCTCTCAGCGTGTCTCTCTACTCTCTCATCCCTCTCCTCTCTCTTCTCATGCTCATCAACGTCACCGGCTCTTTTCTTCCTCTGCGCGTTCTCACCCGATCTCTCTCATCTCCAACATCCTCTCTATCCTTCTTCTCTCCCGCTTCCTCGAGACATCAAATGTGATCTCTCCTCTCTCCTCCCGCATTTATCCATCATCTCTCTTCCCCTTTGCCTATGCTCACTCTCTCACATATTTATCTCTCCTCCTCCCGTCAGCCTCCCCTCTCTATCTCTCTCTCTCTCTCTCTCTCTCTCTCGTCGCTCCTCTGCCGATCTCTGCCCTCTCATCTTGCGGCGCATAAGGCTCAGCTGCACTGATCCGATCGACGATAAAGCTTATAAAGGAGAGGAGTCTCCGCTCTCTCTCCCTCTCTCTCTCGCCGGTCCGCTCTCCTGTCTCCTCTCCTTCCCTCTCGTCATCTCCATCTCTCTCGACTCTCGTCGTCGTCCGCTCTCACCGTCGATCTCATCTCTTCCTCTTCACATCTCGTCCCTCTCTCGCTCGTCTCTCTCGAGCAGCGCACCCATCTCTATGACTAGCTATAGTCAAGGACTGAATGGGAACGTGCACGTTGCAGCACACCCACCGAGGTCGATCGGCAACGTGTACCAGGGTAAACAGCCCAGACATCGACTCCAAACCGAGTCATCTCCGTGGTTGAACACACCGACGAGGTAGTCGGGAACTCACAACGACGCAGTCGGCGTGAGTCCATACGAACAGCCGGGTAGCCTATGACGGAATGACTTGGTAGAGGCTGTGGAGACCAAATGCTTACACCTTGAAAACGTTGGACCCTAGACTGACGGAGCTAAAAGTCCCTGCGAACCGTAAGCTGACTAGCTGCTAACTCCACACCCACGATAATGAAAGACCATTGAATAGACTCACGACTACATATAGTAATATAGGTCTATATCTTATCGTTATCTATGTCTAATATATATATATAAATGATTGTGAAAAAAAAATTTAGAGAAGAGAGAGAGAGGGAAACACCGAGAGACAGCGCGCGGTAGACACACCAAGAGGGAAAGTCGAAGGAGAGCGCGGGAGGACATGCCGACAGAGAAAGAGAGAAAGAGAGAGAGAGAGAGAAAGAAGGAGAGAGAAGAAAAGAGAGGGCAGGTA